ATGTCTGGAGCTGTGGCAGCCATATTATATCAGTGACGTGAGACATTATCCATATGCTGAAGATGGCAGAGAGGAGGGCTGGAAGGAGTCTGGGCCCTTGATATCACTGAGCCACAGATCAATCTTAGGACCACCCACCCCTGGGAGTATCTTTTGGTCAAAGCACTTTAGTTGGGTGTTTGGTACCTATGCTGAACGATCCTAACTGATAAGACCTTATAAGACAGGTTAGAGTCGACATGGGGTTATCTGTAGATTTTGCAGGACACACAACATAGCTGTAGAATTATTTGAAGTCTAGGAAGTGTAAGGAAACAGAAACCAGAAGACCTGAATTGACCGGGGATCCTCTTCCTCCCTGTGTTAATTTAGGCACATCATGAGCCTTTCTAAACCCCACCTTCCACATCTGTAAAATGGGGGTGATAGTCCCAACATAGGACTCACTCAGTTTGGTATAGTATCAAGTGAGATCATATGTGTAAATGACAAACTGCTTTTACTTTGGGTTAATTGTGTGTATGTGTAATTGAAAGAGAGACAGATTTTTAAACAGAAGATTTGCCTTCATAGATATGTCTCTTAGGAGGGTGAATAACAAACATGTTGCTTATCTGGAAACCCAAATGTGGATAAACTGAAGGTTCCTGTGGCCAGTATTCTCACCTGACCTTGGTTGGCTAGCTCACTACACAGATGTGGGCATTACGTTGTTATTGGCTCTATATAAAGAGCTCCGCCCAGTACTCTGCAGCTGTAAGGCTGCAGGAGAGCAGAGATGACACTGGAGTGGTGGCAGCACCGAGGAGAGACTGAGATGGCTGGGTGGGTAGAGAAGCCCAGAGGCAGAGACCAGCTTACTGCATACAGACTCACTCTGAGTGGACGGAATTCTAGTGATTGACCTGCCACAATGAAGAATAAAGTTGGGTATAACCCTTTCACCCCAAGAATGTTCTACTATCATTTCTTTGGTCACATTGAATCCACAGTGAACTTGTCCGGGGCTGAAACCCATTGGCAAGACAACTGGCAGTAATCAGCAGGATTCACTGCTGACCAAGGAAAAGAAAAGGTTGCCCTCATGGGAGGAGTGTTTCAGCAGGCTGCACCTATGGACAGGGAGACATTTGAGTGTCCCCCAGTGGACATGTGTACTGGGAAGGGGTGGAGGACTGGGGTCCACCCCAAGAGAAAGAAAATTTGTGCTGACTGAAGTGGTGTCACTATGAAGTGCTGTGGACATGGTAAAGGATGTCGTGGTGGCCTGGGGGAGGCAGCAGGAGAAGGAGCAGAGGCCCGAGAATGAGATCGAGAGCGCAGGCTGCCAGGGGCCGCGGGGCAGGTGAAGGATGTAGTGGAGCCGTCAGCCCCAGAAATGGAGGAGCAGAGGTTTGACGAACAGGTGCGGGTGGAGGCCCTGCTGGCGCCCGAGGCATCGGCCCCTCCTCAGTTGAAACCCAAACTGGTTGGAAGCTGCTGGAAAGCCCGAAGGACCTGGCAACTGCGGGTTCTTCCGGGAGAGGTGCAGCCCCTTCCTCAGGTTGTGGAGCACAGCACGCTCTGCTTCTATCCTCAGGCTCAAGTACAAAGGGAAATATGGCCTGCTTCTTGAAGGAAGACTTTATAGGGCCCCGTGAAGGTCACAAGGACCCAGATGTGGGTTGGTTTGAACCACTGAGACAGCTGCATGGGCAGAGAGGCCCAGAGGCAGAGACCGGCTTGCTGCATGCAGACTCGCTCTGAGTGGATGGGATTCTAGTGACTGACCTGCTACCGTGGAAATAAAGCCCTTTCATCCCGAGAACATTCTACCATCATTTCTTTGGTCACATTGAATCCATAGTGAACTTGCCAGGGGCTGAAACCCATTGGCAAGACACCGAATCAACCCAAAGTAGGGGAGATGATTTTGTCTCCTTGCTCCTCCCCTCTCACAACCAAGTCCTATCAGGTCGACTTCTTAAATGGTTCTCAGATCTGTCTTCTGGCATCTCTACTTTCACTGCCTGGATTTAGACCTTACTGTCCCTTGCTTAGAATATTGCACTGGCCCAGTTGTCATTTTACCTCCATTCTGTAACCTTCACAAGAGAGTCCTTTCTAACATGCAGGTGGGGCTGTGTCACTCTGGGGTCTGGCCTCAATGGAGCTCTTTACTTGGGTCACTGTAAATGTGTGTTTACTTGCCTTTTTGTCCCTCTCGAGGACAGGGCCCTTGTCTCCCCAGCACCCAGCACAGGGCCTGGTGCACCGAGGACGCTCCATATAATTGTTGGAAAGATACATCAGTCTGGATTCAAACCTCAGGAAGATTATTAAGTTCTAGTTTGGTGTCTCCTAAGGACTGTCTTCGATCAACAAATCTGAGTCGCCAATATTTCACTTTACTGAATGTAGACACTTTATTGAAAGTTAGTGGGTATTTTAGCAAATAAGGTGCCCAGGGTGGCAGCCTGGGTGGGGTCGGCAAGGTGGTGGAGATCTCAGGGGCTGGTCACTTGCTGTAGCTCTCAGAGCCTGGCTCCGGGGGACTCGGGAGGTCTTCTTTCAGCCCAGAGGCAGCTGGCCTCTCCTCCTCCTCACGCCCTGCTGACAGCAGGTCCTCAGTGTCATCTGAAACAGGAAGTGCAAGTGTGGTGCAGTCAGGTTCAGGACTTCTCCTCCCTCACCTTCCCCTTTGGCTCCAAGAGACAGCAGCCTCCAGTGGGTGTGCTCACTAATGCGTCACAGTGGGGCATATTCAGCGGTCTGGAAGCCGACTCATCACCCGGCTGTAGGGACGTGCTAAGGTTGCACTGGATTTGGGTTCATCCACAGAGAGCCACTTGGCCTTGGAAGCTAAAAGCAGAGCTGAGAATCTAAAACATGCTGGCCAAGGTCACTTCCCTACTGGAAGCTCTGCTCTTATCTCTCTCTGCTTGAGGACCTCGTGTCACTCTGAAAACCTCAACCCAGCATCACCGTTCCCAGGAAGCCTTCCCAGGCCCTCCAGGGAGAAGGGAGCGCTTCCTCCTTAGGGCTCTCGCTAGCTTGGGTGCAGACTTCCGTCCTGGCATCAGGGAAGCGGAAGAACATTCACTGGTTATGTCCCTCACTCCCCCACTTGCTGGAAGCTTCTTAAGGACATTGCATGTATTCCCAGTGCCCTTGTTATGGTTCGTTTTCTCCCTGTAACACCTCTTCAGCAGGAAGAGGTAGAGATGCCCACTTCTCCCTGGCTAGAAGTCCCTCTCCAGGATGTTGTACCCAGGCCTCCAAGGGGTGTGAGGATGAAGTTCAAGACCCTACTTCTCTTCCCACACCAATGTTCCAGGCTGGCTCCACCACCTGTGTCCTTTCCCCATGCCTCTCTCTCTCTTACTTCCCCCGCCTGCCCCCCACCGCCAACAGGAGGCCCTTGGCAAGGAGGAACCCCCCCAGACTGTGAGCTCCTCAGGGGAAAGGGCTGTGCCGATGGCATCCCAGTGACCAGTGGTGCCGGCGCGCTCCAGGCATCCCACCACGCGCGGAGGATCAACAGCCGGCATTGCCCCCTGCCTGCCCGCTGCTGCTCAGGCTTCCCTACCTGCCGGCGCCTTCAGAGACCGGATGTACTTGGACCAGAAGGAGCAGTCGGCCTTCTTCAGGCCCTGTCGACTGGGGAGCAGGGCACTGAACTCCTTGTAGCGCTCTCCACCGGCATGGGGGACAAAGTCAGGCCAGAGGGCTGCAAATTCAGGTGCTTTCCTTGAGAACTCATGAGGGTAGTTGGGATTTCTGGAAAAACGATAAGAACCAAACATCCATGAGGGAAGCCTGTCTTTCCCTCTGTCACTTGGGTTCACTTCCCTCTTGTACTTGCGGTCTCTGAGGACCGGATGACACATCTTTAGGTGTCACCTCAGGCTCTGAACCTGCCTGATTGGATCCAGGGCGGTGCTCGGCAATGCTCCCCGGCAAACAGTTAAATCTGACTCTGCTCTTAGGCCTGTTCTAGCAGAGGGCGACAGGGCTTCACCTCAGTGTCCTCCCATCTGGACACCGCGGCCAGCCTCTGGAATACCCTTGTCCGAGGCCTGGGTGGCAGGGTGGGCCTCGAGCCAGGCAGACTCGTCTGCCACCTACGGGTCGGCCTCCCTGTGGAGGGGTCACACCCTCGGGCCCCTCCCAAACCTGCCGCCAGGCCCGTCCTCCAGGGTGTGCCATTCTGCGGCCCGCGAGCCAGCGCCAGCCGGCCTCCTGCCATTCACCAAACAAGGTCTGCCTCTCAGCCCGTGAGCCCGAGGTGCCTGTGCTGACAGGCGCCCCTCTCGGCGACGGCCTTCTCCTGCTCTGCCTACCTGAATATCCTTTTATTCCTCTCAGGCCCACCTGTGATGTCACTACCTCACAACACATCTCCTAAATCCTGAATTAAGAGAAATGTCTTTCTGCTCAACTTCCCCAACTGTATAAAGTTCAATTTTGTTTTGCTTTAAAATTTGGTTGGGCTTTGTTTCAGAATGTCAGTAGCTTAAGCTGAGCCATGACTTTTACCTTTCCAGGGGATGGAGTACTGTGCCAGGTGACCAGTGTATGTCTGGCAAAGAGATAAAGGGAGACAGGGAAACCACAGGGTGGAAGGAACAGGAACCAGCTTTGGAAGTGGGAACAGTGAGCATGCTGCGTGGTAGGGAATAGAGGCATGTAACTGGGGGTGGGGGGTGGTGGGGGAGCAGTGCTAGAAAGGTCTTGAGCATTTTAATTTGATAACAAAAGACAGAGGTTCTCAACTTAGGGTGACTTTGCCTTCCAGGGGACTTGGCAATGCCTGAGATATTTTTGTTCTCACAACTGGAATGCAGGCTGAGATGCTACCGGCGTCTAGTAGGGGGAGGCCAGAGATGCTGCCAAAGGCCTGCAACACATAGGACGCCCCAATGCAAGACTTACACAGCCCTGGTGCTGAGGTTGAGAAACCCTGACCTGGGGCCACCAAGTATGGCTAAACAAGAGACCGTATGATTGGAAATATTCTTCAACAGGGTTAATGTGTGCAAAGGCAGTCTAGACTGGAAGGGGGGACAGACAGGGAGGGCAGCAGCAGGTGACAGGAGCACCTAGGGAGCCCAGGTGCCCAGTGTGGCCTTGTTCTCAGCAAGGGCAGGGGCGGCCCACGGACAGCCCCGTGCATGGGGCCCACTCACCCAGACCGGAGGAAGTTGGAAAAGTACTGCATGATTTTCAATGACAAACTTTTCTCCTCCAGAGTAAACTGCCCCTTGTAGGCAGGGTGGAAGGGAAGCCCGAAGGCATACTGAACATCTGGCAGCAATTCCAGGCTGAGAAAACACATGGAATAAGGAGAAGCAAATGTTAGAGCAACAATAAACTGCTGGAAAACCCAAGTGAGAGAAAAACCATTCCTCCTCCCCAGTTGAAGACTTTTCTGTCTTTTTGTTTAGGATTCCTGTGCAGTGCTTAGTGAGGCTGAGGTCCGCCTCGGGCTTTAGTCCAACGACCCCCTTGGGACAGATCCATGGCGCATCTCTTGATTGAAGCACACCCAGTGCTGGGCATCCAACTCTCTGGGAAGTCTGTAAGCAACTTTCCAAGAGAATGTTCTTTTAACCATATTCCAACCACGATACTTATAATATCAATTGAACATCTGTCCAAAATAGCTCATATTTTGAGGCCCCTCTCTGTGCTCTTGTTCATACACTACTTGCATTCTCAATACCTCTTCAAGGTTGATATTTATCCATGTACATTTATCTCCTCCCTTGCCTGGCACATAGTTGCAGGTCAATAAATACATGCTCTGACTAAACTGAGTATTTAATAAGCAGTAGGCAGGACGGAATAGAGATTTGAAAACCAGATGAGCAGTTTGAAATGGACTGGGCTGCAGCTGGCACTAGGCGACCAGTCCAGTGGGGCATGGGTCTGTGGGCGTGAACATGGAGAGTGCCCCATGAATTCGGGAAGTCAAGGAATTTGCTCCAAGTCAAAGTTTCCCCCCGAGTGGAAAACCTGGGGGATGTCACAGTTGTGGAGTAAGGAATTTGGCTTTTCCCCAAGACAAGGCTGGCCTTTGTCCTCGGCGTCTGGGAGGTAATGCACATCCAACCTGACAGGAGTGTCTTTGTTAAGGGCAGGGGCCGGCCACACTGGATCTTTGGTGAATGTGGCCTCCCTTGACAGTGGTAGGGTGGGGCTGGCCATGCCAGAGGGTCAACTGTGTGACTTAGCGGGCTGCGCTCTGGTTCACATGGTATCAGCTGACCTGCGGACTGAGATTAACCGCCTGGGCCGTCCATCATGCCTGTGTAACAGGGTCCCAGGAGAACCCCTGAACACCAGGTTTGGGTGAGCGTCCCAGCTGGCACTACCCCAGGGCTCTGTCACACATCAGTGCCAAGAGAGTCACCACCCCTCCTGGCTCCACGGGGAGGGGACGAGGAGTTTTGCCTTGGAAACCCTCGTGGGGTCCGTGCTCTGATGCTCCTCCCTTGTCTGGTCTTCATGTGCGCTCTGGCTAACCATCGCTGTCGGGGTGCAGCCTCCAGCAAGGTCTGTGAGTCTTCCTAGTGAATGCAGAAACCCGAGGGTGATGTGAGGAACCCCCTGAATTTGTTGGTGTCAGATGTGAGCATGGTCTTATATGGAGCCTGTGCCCCCTGACCTCACAGTTGGCCCCAACTTATTGCAACAGCTAAACTTCAATGTTACAGAGAAGGAAAATGAAGTCCACGGTCAATGAAGTCTGACTTACCCAGAGACATGCAGCAAGTTGAACAGCAGAATCGGATCAGGAACATTGCTACCATCCCTAGGTCTTAGTTCCTCTCTCCACTTTCAAGCTGGGTGACCTCTGGCAAATTACTTGACCTCCCTAATTCCCTGCTTCATCGTCTGTGGAATAGGCTATCAATACTTACTTCACAGGGTTGTTGTGATGGTCAAAATAAGATGGTGTGTGTAGTAGGTACCCAACAGGTACGTGCAGTGATCCTTCTCATCCATCATTCTACTCCTGAGGAATCGCCATCTCTATGGGAACAGCAGCCCCGCTAACTGGGGCTCAGACAGCTGCCACTGATTCTCATCTGTGCTGGGATAATGGGCAGATATGCCCAACGGATGCATGTCCTGGGAAAGGGCTCAGACTAGGTGGCTTCCAGATAAAGGTAATTTGTGCAGAGGTTAAATCAGCATATGAAGACAGCTACAATGTTCTGTGAATAGACAGCCTGGTTCTGGTTAGCAATCAGAGTGATTCACTGGGATTATCCAAAGACTGGGAAAGGGGACCCTTGAGTGCAGGGGTACAAAAGGGAGCACTTCAAGCTAAGAAAGCACCTTCCCTGTTGTCCCTCCCCTGCTCAGGCGGGGAACTGTGGTGACCAACAGGGATGGCGCTGGGGCTGGAAGCTCAGGTGCCTAGCTTAGCCAGGGCTTCCGAGGGCTCAAGACCTGGAACTCCTGCTGGGACCATAGGATGCTCAGCAGATGTACACGTGGCTGCAGCATGGAAGGGCATGGAAGGTGCAGCGCATGATGGCGTCAGCAGCTGAGGCTTGGCTCTGTCACTCACAACCTGTGGGACTTTGGATGAGTCAGCTGACTTCTCTGTCTCAGTTTCTTCCTCCTGAAATACCACACCTAACCAGCCATGACATGCGGAAGCTATTGAAACACATGTTTTCACAAATCCAGGTATTATTAGGGTGATTACTATGGATCAATCTCAGGATTGATCCTCTAGAAGGCATCAGAGAAGGGAAAGGAGACTGAGTGAGCCATACAGGAAGGGGAGGTGCCAATCACTGGGTGTGGGGTCTCTTTACAACCATTGCTGGGTACCCTGGACCTTCTTTGTGTGGGTTTAAGCTTTCCTTTGTTCCTGAGGGGGAGCAGGAAGTGGGAGTGTCATTAATTTTACAGTTCCTGGGACCTGAAGAGCTAAGTCCCTTGTTCTATGCCAGAAACATCTGTGGTCAAGCTCAGACAAGAGCCCAGATTCTGTGGTTGCCAAGTGGGCCTCTGGCAGCCAGCTCTGCTCAGCGCCTGCCCAGGACAATGCCCTGAGCACCATGATGTGCCAGGTACTGTGGCAGGCCTTTGACCGCCAACATTCGGGACTAGCTGGGAAATTAAATGCTACCAACCGCATAGTTTCCAGGCAATAACCCGAGGCTCAGAAAGATGAAGTGAATGCCCGAGACATGGGAGAGCAAGGCCTTGACGCTGAGTCGCCTAGGCCCCAAGTCCTGTTCTCAGTCTACTTTACCTGTGGGCAGAGGGCTGAGGGTCACTAAAAAGTACAAATGACCCAGCTGCCTAGTGATGTTTTAAGATTATAAAGAGAAAAGGAACACAAAGCCAAATATGCCAGGAAGATAGAAGTTGTAACAGGGGTCATCAAAATCACCTCTCCTCTACAGCCACGCTTGGTAGTGTAAAAATCACGTGCCCCTTGTTCTCTCAAGGGCACCGTGAATTGACTGTGTTGGAGTAATTCAGAGAGGTTTTACCCTAGAGGAAACTTAGGCTCACACAGGACACTTTCTTGCCAAGGCCCTGTAACCGTGGAGTGGCAAAGCCAGGAAGGAGCCCCAGGCTGCGACTCCAGGGTTGCGTGGTCTTGGGGAGGCCCCTCGGGTGCCGGCGGAGGAACCAGGGATGCCTGGAGTTAACAGGCAGCACCCCCACCTCCCCCGCCCCCCGGCCTGCTCTTCCTCAGCGCCGTGGAAGGGAAGGAGCCCGGGGCTCAGAGGTCCCTCCGAGACGAGTGTAATGCCCTTGGGAGTTACCACAATCCCACTGGCTTCAAACAACACAGGTGTAGCCCCTCACAGTTTCTGGAGTTCAAAGGTCAGGCAAAGGTCTCCTGGCTAAGATCAAGGGGTGAGCAGACTTCGTTCCTTCCTCTCGGTGAGGTGGGGATGGAATTCAGTTCCTTGAAGCAGAGGAGCCAGTTTCAGTTCTCTCGCTGGCTGTGACCTGAGGGCCATTCCCTGATCCTAGAGGCCACTGTTCACAGTCCCCTTCCTCAGTCACCTCATATCTACGCGGTTCAGACAAGATACATAACCCGTCTGGGCCTCAAGTGTCCTCATCTGTACAATGGCGGCACAGTCATGCTTCCAAACATTGAATGAGGTTTGGCAATAAAACATTTCAAATCTCTGGCTGGGTTTCTGGCTCATATGGCCATTTTTTTCCCCTTTTTCCTGTGAGAAACACCGGAGGGCTTTGGAATGGGGGTCTTTGGTCTGGGGGTTCCACGATAAGGTTTCAGGGGACTGTGAGCGCCCTGACATTGCACGTAGAGTGGTGTGACGCTGTGTAGGCGCATCTTTCCGAGGCGAGGCTCCACGGCTCTCAGGACATCCTCTAGAAGATCCGTGATGGTCAGCCGGGACAGGTTTAACAACTGGCTTTTGCCAGTTCCATGGTGCGAGTCTTCCGGCCACAGACAATCTGAGGCTGCATGTGACATGGGGGGACATGGGCTTGGGAAAGATGCCACCGCCGGCTCCAGCCCAGTGGGGTCTGTGACCACAAGAGGTGACACAGCACTGCTTTTTGGGGAACCCCTGGCCTCCCAGCCCCTCTGACCAGTTTAATTTGAGAGCCTGTTGTTTATGAGGACCTCTGCTTTGTTTTTTCCTCCGCAGGCTGATCCTTATCAGGATGCTGGAGTTATTTCGAGCAGCGTCGGGCAGACATCTGGAGGAAGGCAGACACGGCGAGCCCTGGACGAGGGCGTCTGGGACCAGAGGGCCCTGGGCCCTGGCTGAGAGTCCCAGGACCCTCGGGAGGAAGGAGGGGTTTGGATTCGGCATCGGCAGAGAGGGACACGGAAGACACTCCAGGGCCCGGCAGAGGTAAAAGGAGTCAGCTGAGGTACTGCAGTGGCCACAGTGCCTACAAGTGGGGGCAGACAGTGCGTGCAGAGCCGTCTGGGTCCTCTGCCCTGGGGTGGGTTTGGTCACTGATGAATCTATGCCCAAACCTGCGGCAGTCACAGAGGGGGTTGTGATCTCCTTCTGGCTGTCATGTGCTGCCTTTGGAAGTAACACCCTGGTCAAACTCCCCCTCATCTGACAGTTACTCGTCTCGGGTTCAGACCAGGGCTGGGTCTTCTCACTGTCACATGTGGATGTGGGGACCAGAAAGTTCCCTGCCCAAGCCGGGTGGGCTTGGCTCAAGCCCCCTTTCCCAGCGCTGACTCTCCGAGCCTTGGATTTTGGGTCTGTAGAGTGTGTGTGCTGTTCCTGCTCAGCCTCCCACATGGCATCACGGGATGCTCATAGACTGGCGGTGGACGGATCCCCTCTAAAAATTACAAATCGCCAGCTAAGGAAGGGCTACTGCTGCTGATGTCGGTGGCCCCACATTTAGCCAGACTGAGGGAGGAACAGACCCACCACAGGCTCAGCGATGACCCGAGTGTGGGTTTCAGTTTCCGGATGTGCGTGTAGTTCAGCGAGGGTGGTGGCAAAACACAGGACATCAGGATGAGACCAAACTCGAGCCGCATTTGCCGAAAGGCTACTGTGTGTGGTGCCCTGAATAGGTGAAGGCTGAGAATACAAGATGAAGAGGTCGGGTGTTGTGTCATGGAGCCCACACTCTTAAAGAAAATGCAGATATACCACCATTTCTAAAAAATAAAATTCTGTGAGTTGTATGCTAGACAGATGGTAGAATTTCTTACAGAGCCCTGTAAGAAGAGAGAGAAAAGGAATACCACTTGTTGTTGGCAAGAAGTGGACAGCAGGGAGGGGCGATCACAGTGGGCTGGCCCTGTGATGACCGGGCTTCAGCGTGTGGGGCGTGTGGGGTGTGGGGCTTGTGGGGTGTGGGGCGTGCAGGGTGTAGGCCGTGTTCTGAGCTTCACCTAGAGAGCAGGACGGGGCTGGCTGGGCACGGGGAGTGGGCAGCTGCAACACAGAGCTCTGGGCCTCTGTCTTGTCCTGAGAAGCAGGTTGTGCTGCAAAGTGAAATGGGACTTTTTCCTGGTGCTGGAAAATGAAATGCTTGTGAACCAATAAACTGCGTACTCACTGAGGTCCTTGAGGCTCTGGTTCTGTGAAAGGTGTGCGACCTGAGGCCAGAGGAATTGAGGGCTACTCTTTAAAGGGGATGGGAATGGGATACTGGGGGTTTCTAAGCAAACAACCTGCAACCTGCATTTCCCTTAGAACTATTCCTGGAGTGATGTGGGAAGGAAGACTGGACCTGAGGACTCACGGGTCGCGGCAGTGCTCCAGGAAAGACAGAAGGCTGGTCCTTTCTGCATAATGTCCCCCAACCTCGCCTTTAAGCCATGCTACTGGCTCATCTTAAATCCTGCTGGTGTAGACTTGCAGGGAGGCTAAGCCTGCATTCCAGCAGGTCAAAAGCCAAAAGCCACAGTTCAGAGATTACACACTGCGCAAGCTCCTGACTTGAGCTCTGCTCCCAGGATGAGGGGGCCACCATCGTGGATATTTGGGACTGGTTAGGGAGCATGACTGAGACTGAAGTTCTGCTCAGAGGAAGCCCAGACTCTGGGCCCTGCTGACATAATGACCTGAGCTGGGCTCCACTCAATATGAGGAAAGGGTGGATAACATCTTTCTTGACCTCAACAAGCCACATTTTTGCATAATGGAGATTGTTCTTCTGATAATGGGTTTAAGAGGCTTCTGCTGGGGAAAGGCTCATTGCTCAGCCCAACTGATCGATATGAAAGCCTGTTTTTCCAGAGATTTCTATCCCTGGTGTTCTGTCTGCAGGAGGAAGTTTATTGACCTCATTCCCATTAAATATACTCCCGTTCTTATCTCTCACCAGTATCTTTAGATAACTTCCTCTGGAGAAGGAAATTTGGGAACAAGCAGGAATTGAAGTCCTCTGCTTCTCAGGCTCTTTAAAAAACTTTTTTGGAGGGGTTGGAACACTGTTAAATAATTTACAAACAGACGCCTGTATGTGTGCTTCTCTTTGGGCAAATCTAATTGCAAAAGTTAAGAATCTGCTTATGAATTAATCAAGAAGGTATTTATATGTTTTACAAATGGCTCGTGTTTTACGAAAGGATTCACTCTGTGATTCTTGAAAAGCAAGCTCCCTGACTTACTTTACATTATACAATCCTACTCCCCCCCTAAGTGAAATACTTCAATCATTTCCACAATTCCCTAAAGCCCAGCAGGGCCGGATGATATATTGTTTTGCAGTAAAGGCAAAGCTTTCAACAGAGTTGCTGGATTAGCCTGGACAATTTTTCCCTACATAAAGCATATTAACTGCTGCTAGAAAAGCCTGAATTTTCCTGGCCCAATGCATCTAGTCTCACCAGGAAGTCATGTGTCTGTGTTTGTCTCTAACCTGTTTATATGCCAGTTGTGTTTGTCATTGCAACAACAGATTTTAATTAAATATCATGTGAATACCCCACTTTCAAGAAACCAAAACTAGAAATTATAGATCATGCATTACGGTTATGAGAAGGGGAGGTGCCAATCACTGGGTGTGGGGTCTCTTTACAACCATTGCTGGGTACCCTGGACCATCTTTGTGTGGGTTTAAGCTTTCCTTTGTTCCTGAGGGGGAGCAGGAAGTGGGAGTGTCATTAATTTTACAGTTCCTGGGACCTGAAGAGCTAAGTCCCTTGTTCTATGCCAGAAACATCTGTGGTCAAGCTCAGACAAGAGCCCAGATTCTGTGGTTGCCAAGTGGGCCTCTGGCAGCCAGCTCTGCTCAGCGCCTGCCCAGGACAATGCCCCGAGCACCATGATGTGCCAGGTACTGTGGCAGGCCTTTGGCCGCCAACATTCGGGACTAGCTGGGAAATTAAATGCTACCATCCGCATAGTTTCCAGGCAATAACCCGAGGCTCAGAAAGATGAAGTGAATGCCCGAGACATGGGAGAGCAAGGCCTTGACGCTGAGTCGCCTAGGCCCCAAGTCCTGTTCTCAGTCTACTTTACCTGTGGGCAGAGGGCTGAGGGTCACTAAAAAGTACAAATGACCCAGCTGCCTAGTGATGTTTTAAGATTATAAAGAGAAAAGGAACACAAAGCCAAATATGCCAGGAAGATAGAAGTTGTAACAGGGGTCATCAAAATCACCTCTCCTCTACAGCCACGCTTGGTAGTGTAAAAATCACGTGCCCCTTGTTCTCTCAAGGGCACCGTGAATTGACTGTGTTGGAGTAATTCAGAGAGGTTTTACCCTAGAGGAAACTTAGGCTCACACAGGACACTTTCTTGCCAAGGCCCTGTAACCGTGGAGTGGCAAAGCCAGGAAGGAGCCCCAGGCTGCGACTCCAGGGTTGCGTGGTCTTGGGGAGGCCCCTCGGGTGCCGGCGGAGGAACCAGGGATGCCTGGAGTTAACAGGCAGCACCCCCACCTCCCCCGCCCCCCGGCCTGCTCTTCCTCAGCGCCGTGGAAGGGAAGGAGCCCGGGGCTCAGAGGTCCCTCCGAGACGAGTGTAATGCCCTTGGGAGTTACCACAATCCCACTGGCTTCAAACAACACAGGTGTAGCCCCTCACAGTTTCTGGAGTTCAAAGGTCAGGCAAAGGTCTCCTGGCTAAGATCAAGGGGTGAGCAGACTTCGTTCCTTCCTCTCGGTGAGGTGGGGATGGAATTCAGTTCCTTGAAGCAGAGGAGCCAGTTTCAGTTCTCTCGCTGGCTGTGACCTGAGGGCCATTCCCTGATCCTAGAGGCCACTGTTCACAGTCCCCTTCCTCAGTCACCTCATATCTACGCGGTTCAGACAAGATACATAACCCGTCTGGGCCTCAAGTGTCCTCATCTGTACAATGGCGGCACAGTCATGCTTCCAAACATTGAATGAGGTTTGGCAATAAAACATTTCAAATCTCTGGCTGGGTTTCTGGCTCATATGGCCATTTTTTCCCCCTTTTTCCTGTGAGAAACACCGGAGGGCTTTGGAATGGGGGTCTTTGGTCTGGGGGTTCCACGATAAGGTTTCAGGGGACTGTGAGCGCCCTGACATTGCACGTAGAGTGGTGTGACGCTGTGTAGGCGCATCTTTCCGAGGCGAGGCTCCACGGCTCTCAGGACATCCTCTAGAAGATCCGTGATGGTCAGCTGGGACAGGTTTAACAACTGGCTTTTGCCAGTTCCATGGTGCGAGTCTTCCGGCCACAGACAATCTGAGGCTGCATGTGACATGGGGGGACATGGGCTTGGGAAAGATGCCACCGCCGGCTCCAGCCCAGTGGGGTCTGTGACCACAAGAGGTGACACAGCACTGCTTTTTGGGGAACCCCTGGCCTCCCAGCCTCTGACCAGTTTAATTTGAGAGCCTGTTGTTTATGAGGACCTCTGCTTTGTTTTTTCCTCCGCAGGCTGATCCTTATCAGGATGCTGGAGTTATTTCGAGCAGCGTCGGGCAGACATCTGGAGGAAGGCAGACACGGCGAGCCCTGGACGAGGGCGTCTGGGACCAGAGGGCCCTGGGCCCTGGCTGAGAGTCCCAGGACCCTCGGGAGGAAGGAGGGGTTTGGATTCGGCATCGGCAGAGAGGGACACGGAAGACATTCCAGGGCCCGGCAGAGGTAAAAGGAGTCAGCTGAGGTACTGCAGTGGCCACAGTGCCTACAAGTGGGGGCAGACAGTGCGTGCAGAGCCGTCTGGGTCCTCTGCCCTGGGGTGGGTTTGGTCACTGATGAATCTATGCCCAAACCTGCGGCGGTCACAGAGGGGGTTGTGATCTCCTTCTGGCTGTCATGTGCTGCCTTTGGAAGTAACACCCTGGTCAAACTCCCCCTCATCTGACAGTTACTCGTCTCGGGTTCAGACCAGGGCTGGGTCTTCTCACTGTCACATGTGGATGTGGGGACCAGAAAGTTCCCTGCCCAAGCCGGGTGGGCTTGGCTCAAGCCCCCTTTCCCAGCGCTGACTCTCCGAGCCTTGGATTTTGGGTCTGTAGAGTGTGTGTGCTGTTCCTGCTCAGCCTCCCACATGGCATCACGGGATGCTCATAGACTGGCGGTGGACGGATCCCCTCTAAAAATTACAAATCGCCAGCTAAGGAAGGGCTACTGCTGCTGATGTCGGTGGCCCCACATTTAGCCAGACTGAGGGAGGAACAGACCCACCACAGGCTCAGCGATGACCCGAGTGTGGGTTTCAGTTTCCGGATGTGCGTGTAGTTCAGCGAGGGTGGTGGCAAAACACAGGACATCAGGATGAGACCAAACTCGAGCCGCATTTGCCGAAAGGCTACTGTGTGTGGTGCCCTGAATAGGTGAAGGCTGAGAATACAAGATGAAGAGGTCGGGTGTTGTGTCATGGAGCCCACACTCTTAAAGAAAATGCAGATATACCACCATTTCTAAAAAATAAAATTCTGTGAGTTGTATGCTAGACAGCTGGTAGAATTTCTTACAGAGCCCTGTAAGAAGAGAGAGAAAAGGAATACCACTTGTTGTTGGCAAGAAGTGGACAGCAGGGAGGGGCGATCACAGTGGGCTGGCCCTGTGATGACCGGGCTTCAGCGTGTGGGGCGTGTGGGGTGTGGGGCGTGTGGGGTGTGGGGCGTGCAAGGTGTAGGCCGTGTTCTGAGCTTCACCTAGAGAGCAGGACGGGGCTGGCTGGGCACGGGGAGTGGGCAGCTGCAACACAGAGCTCTGGGCCTCTGTCTTGTCCTGAGAAACAGGTTGTGCTGCAAAGTGAAATGGGACTTTTTCCTGGTGCTGGAAAATGAAATGCTTGTGAACCAATAAACTGCGTACTCACTGAGGTCCTTGAGGCTCTGGTTCTGTGAAAGGTGTGCGACCTGAGGCCAGAGGAATTGAGGGCTACTCTTTAAAGGGGATGGGAATGGGATACTGGGGGTTTCTAAGCAAACAACCTGCAACCTGCATTTCCCTTAGAACTATTCCTGGAGTGATGTGGGAAGGAAGACTGGACCTGAGGACTCACGGGTCGCGGCAGTGCTCCAGGAAAGACAGAAGGCTGGTCCTTTCTGCATAATGTCCCCCAACCTCGCCTTTAAGCCATGCTACTGGCTCATCTTAAATCCTGCTGGTGTAGACTTGCAGGGAGGCTAAGCCTGCATTCCAGCAGGTCAAAAGCCAAAAGCCACAGTTCAGAGATTACACACTGCGCAAGCTCCTGACTTGAGCTCTGCTCCCAGGATGAGGGGGCCGCCATCGTGGATATTTGGGACTGGTTAGGGAGCATGACTGAGACTGAAGTTCTGCTCAGAGGAAGCCCAGACTCTGGGCCCTGCTGACATAATGACCTGAGCTGGGCTCCACTCAATATGAGGAAAGGGTGGATAACATCTTTCTTGACCTCAACAAGCCACATTTTTGCATAATGGAGATTGTTCTTCTGATAATGGGTTTAAGAGGCTTCTGCTGGGGAAAGGCTCATTGCTCAGCCCAACTGATCGATATGAAAGCCTGTTTTTCCAGAGATTTCTATCCCTGGTGTTCTGTCTGCAGGAGGAAGTTTATTGACCTCATTCCCATTAAATATACTCCCGTTCTTATCTCTCACCAGTATCTTTAGATAACTTCCTCTGGAGAAGGAAATTTGGGAACAAGCAGGAATTGAAGTCCTCTGCTTCTCAGGCTCTTTAAAAAACTTTTTTGGAGGGGTTGGAACACTGTTAAATAATTTACAAACAGACGCCTGTATGTGTGCTTCTCTTTGGGCAAATCTAATTGCAAAAGTTAAGAATCTGCTTATGAATTAATCAAGAAGGTATTTATATGTTTTACAAATGGCTCGTGTTTTACGAAAGGATTCACTCTGTGATTCTTGAAAAGCAAGCTCCCTGACTTACTTTACATTATACAATCCTACTCCCCCCCTAAGTGAAATACTTCAATCATTTCCACAATTCCCTAAAGCCCAGCAGGGCCGGATGATATATTGTTTTGCAGTAAAGGCAAAGCTTTCAACAGAGTTGCTGGATTAGCCTGGACAATTTTTCCCTACATAAAGCATATTAACTGCTGCTAGAAAAGCCTGAATTTTCCTGGCCCAATGCATCTAGTCTCACCAGGAAGTCATGTGTCTGCGTTTGTCTCTAACCTGTTTATATGCCAGTTGTGTTTGTCATTGCAACAACAGATTTTAATTAAATATCATGTGAATACCCCACTTTCAAGAAACCAAAACTAGAAATTATAGATCATGCATTACGGTTATGGTTTTGCAAGAATTTCAAAAGGCAAGCTTCAGACAGCAGTTTCTTAGTCAAGACTTTGACCCTGCACTTGGAATGGCAAACGAATGGACGACTATATGCTTACGAGTTAAAATACATTGTTTAAGGCCTATACTTACCTTATTCACTTTTCACAAGTTACCATTTTAATTGACTTGCCTGATTAACTATTCAATGATCACACTGGTTAACAGGGTTTCTATTCTACATTTTAGTTAAAAAAGAAAACACCTGTTTTTTAGTGAGCTGTGTTTGGGGCATGAAAGAAAAGACCAATGTGTATTCTATGTAACACGTCTTCTTAAAAATCTCCAATGCTTTTCCATCATACTCAGATAAAATATTCTCTCTTTGCCTGCCACTGTTTATAAACTCCTATGTGAACTGTAAGACCTTGTCTTTTTACTCCACATCTCCAACCACTATCTTCCTCTTCAAGAGACTCCAGCTCCCTGGCTCCTTCTTTACCCTCACACTTTCTAAGCCTTTTTTTCCCCTTTCTCCTTCCTATGGCAATAATCTGAACTTACTCTGCTTATTATGTGTGTATTGTGTGTTCTTTGCAAACTACCCTTAGACACTCATGAGTCCCCCCACTGACTACAGTGTTAATCCCAAGAGGGAGACCTTTTCTGTCCTGCCAGCTGCTCCATCTCTAGATTTAGACGGGGATAGCGTGCAGTAGGTGAACATTTAGCGAATCAATGTTGAAGAGAACGTATAGCACAACCCCTCATATATCGTGAGGTTGGAGTGGTCAGTTTCAGAAAAAGATTTTACTTCTATCTTAACTGGGAAATAATCTTGTGAATCACACAGGATGTAGCCAGGCCAATGGACCCAATTCAAGAATCTAGCTATTTAATATTTTCTTTGGTTTGCTAATTCCAACAAACTCAGGAAGATAGTCAACTGAAAAGATAATGTTTTGAATTTGGAATGTTTTAGGCCTCTGGAATGCACAGAAATGTCTAGAATGCAAATGCAGTGGTGTACAAAGTGTCTCGAGTCTAGGATTTATGGCTTTGTTTTCCAGAGCTGGGACAGTTTACAAAGGAGGAAAATTACTGCCTCTTAAGTCATTTTGAATTTTTTTCTTCTCAGAGCCTTATTTTTCCCACAGGGAAAATAACTAGAATATTGAACATCTACACTGTGCCAGGTGTTTAACATACCCTGACTTGAGTCTTCACACTATGAAGTAGATGTAACTATACCCATTTTATAGATGAGGACTTTGAGGTGAAGGAACTTGCTCAAAGGCAGGCAGCTAATGGATAGAAGAGATGGAATTCAAACCCCATGTGTGTTCAGGCTGAGCTGCTTCTCCCTAAATGAAAGAACTGTCCAGCATCCTCTGCGGAGGCCAGTGGCTGTGTAATCCCCAGACCCCTGCCCCCCAGGCCTCCATCAGAGATAAACCGAGTTCCATCTCCCCAAAATGTCTTCTGCCTGTTGCATGTGAGAATAATGGCTGAGGACTCTGGGGACCAAGGACTTTGGACTGAGGACCTGAACACAGCACACAGTTGAAGCACACCAGCTGCACCCAGCCGGAATGAGTTCCCATGGAGACCACAGGCCAGCCCCAGCCCGGAGCCTCGGATGAAGGGCCATGCCCTCCAGCCGCCGCTCTTGGTGCTGGGACCTGGAAATGCCTGCACTGTGCTTGTTTCTTCCTGGGACCTGTTGGCCCCACTGCGGGCCCTTCCAGCCTACCACATTAAGCAGTATCAGTGGCCACCTGAAGAGTGCCAGCGTCGCATCAGGCAGCTAGCTAGGCAGTTTGCTCACACTGTCTTGCTGAGTCCTGATCGCCCTGCAGTTGTGTAAGTACTGCTGTTGCCCCAGCCTCTGAATGAGGAAGCCAAGGCTTAGGGAGGCCGTCACCTGCTGAGAGGCCTCAGAAAGGGGCAGAGCCAGGGTTTAGACCCTCCAAGGACAGATGACATCAGAGCATAAATCTCCCCGCCACACTTGCTGGGACCTGGCTCCTGGACAAGGGCTGGGAAGACAGCCCCCCAGGCCTGGGCTGACCACAGGGTCTGGGAGTCCTTTGCCCATGAGTTGCAGAGAATGCAATGGGGGCTTCTCCTGAGAAGGCACTGGGACCAGTGTGTCCGTTGGAGGGAGCTGGTTAGAGAGGACATCAACTCGGAGTCAACAAGAGGCACCGCGGAGCCCGGCAGGAAGGGGAGCAGGGCCCTGGCAGCATGCAGGAGGCGGTGGGAGAGGGATAACTGGGCAAGGCATTTGGGAGAACTCCCAGGCCTCAGGCTTGGGAGGGGGCAGCCGGCCAGGGCCCTGCTGGGGGACAGAGGCCCGGCAGCCTCCAGCTCAGCCTTTAACAGAAGTGTCTGCCATGCTCTGGAGCTGAGGGGCCTTTGGGATCTGTCTGGGGAGCTCCATGGGGCCAGGGGTGGCATCCGGCAGGGTAGGGTTCTGCACTCAGTCAGGGATGAGGGAAAGGGCTGCTCTTCCCTTCAGATGCTGTTAGTAACAACCCCTGTTGTAATGATTCCAGCAGCTGTTCTCAGTGGACACAATTTTGCCCCTGGGACATAGGCCATGTCTGGAGGCAGTCTTGGTTGTCACAAATGTGGAGGTGCTTCTGGCACTAAGTGGGTGGGAGCTAGAGCTGCTGCCAAACACCCTATAATGCACAGGACAGCCCCTACAGCACTGGGGTTGAAATGTCAGTAGTGATGGGCTAGGAAATCCTGGATTATGGTCATCACTGAAAATCCCTTTTCCTGAAACAGAAGGCTATGGACAGGAATGATGGAGGAAACAGGCCTCAAATCTCCCCAGTGAGCAGAACTGAGTAAAAGAAAGCTGGCAAGTGTTGTTCTGGTGCCAACAGCCATGGAACTCAAAGCTGCCAGGAACTGTGCACACCTATGCACAGTCCCCCACCCCCCTGACATCCCCAGCAGCAGGCACCGTCCCCCTGAACCCCTCCAATCGCCCTATAGGACAGGTACTATGAATCTCCCCATGTACAGGTGAGGATGAATGGAGGCTCACAGAAGTTAAGCAACTTGCCAAAGGTCACACAGCTACTAAGTGGACTTAGCCATGGCAGGAACTCAAGAGGCTTTGGTTGAAGTGGGTACAATTGAAAGAAAATCAGAAAGAGGGCAGGAGACAGGGTTTGGGTCCTGGCTGCCACCTCCTAGCTCTGGGGCTGGGACATGACCCCTTCACCTCTATGGGCTTTTGTTTTTTCATCTATGAAATAAAGTAGTTGGAAATCACAATCTGTGATTCTTTGAATCTGAAACTCAAAATGGAAGCTGCTTCTCACACTCGTTTCGGTTTCCTTGACTCCTCCCCCATCCATTAAAACAATTCCTTCCTCACACAAGTTGGGCCTCAATTTCAGGGAGAAAATCTCATCTATAATCCACGGAGCACTTAAGGAGCCATGCTATTATGCTGTGATCAATTAACAACAGTCTGTAAGAAAGTGATAATTTACTGTGTTTTGTTCACTAGCTATGCCAGGAAAGCTAATACATGCTCATAGAAATGGAGGCCTAAGACAGATGGCTGGAAATGTAAGGCATACACATATATTTTAAGTCTGTAGATTTGGGCCAGAAATAAATGAGACATGTGACAGCTCCAGGGCAGAGTGAGAGAGATATCTTTTCAGGCATAAAAGATAAACTTGCCAACAATTAAATGCATTAGTTTCTGAGATTCATTCATTGATTGAAGCATCTATGGCACAGACGCACCGTGCTGTGGCCGGGGTGGGGAGAGGTGACCCAGATATGGAGAACTGTCAACAATGTGTTCTGATGGACAAGAATAATGTGACACTCAGCACTTCCTGTTTGCCAGGCCCTGTTCTGTATACAAACCAATTATCACAGTAACCCTCTAAAGTAGGTACTATTATTATCCCCCTTTTTCAGGTAGAGAAACTGAGTCCTCTGGAGTTAGATGACTTGCCATAGGTTACTGAACTACTAAGAGTCAAGGTGGGTTTCTCATCAAGGCAGCTGACCCAGCGCCCCTGCTCTAACGGGGATACTCTCTGCCTCTGTACATGTGGGAACATCTCTGCCTGTGAAATGTTTCAGTGACTCTGAGTGTCTTTCCTCCAAAATGATGGAACATGAGAGTTAAAGGCACTTAAAGGTGACCGAGCCCAGGAGGTTTTAAACTGTAGGGAATTTACTAGAAGCTCAGTCAGTGAGACAGAGAGAAAGGGGCTGGAAAGCTTGGACCTCCATCTCACTCTCCTCCTTCCGGGGGCCCTGGGTCCAGGGCTCCACAGAGCCAGTGAAGACCTGGTGCTTCGACCTCTCCCACCTCCCTACTCCCATTTTACAGATGACCAAACCGAGCCCCAAGGAGCCTCTAAACCAAAGTGGAAAGAACCCACTCCCAGCCTGTAAAATGAGGTGGTTGGATCACCTTCTGTCTGTCTGCATGATTTCCTACTACATCCCCCTCTGTGCCAGGAGGGTCTCTAGGCCCTGCGGTGCCATGACTGTGAAGACCCAGGAGGCGCTCTGCGAGGGTCTGATGCATGAGCATTGCTTCCTTTCAAGGGAGGTTCCCTGGATCTGCACAGTGGAGCCCGACCTGTGGGTCCCCAGAGGAGTGTGAGGATGCTATTCAGCCACAGAGAAGCCCACACTGGCCACGGGAGACGGAGAGTGCAATTCAGATTCTGTGCAAGTATCGCTCCTCTGAGGACCATCTGAACCCCAGGTCTGAAACAGACCACTGTGGGCCCTTGCCATTCAGGAATCTCCCTGGCAGGGCTCTGGTGCTGCTATGGGCTGAACTGGGTCCCCTACAAAGATACACTGTAGCCCTAACTCAAGGACCTCAGAAAGTGGCCATCTTTGGAAATAGGATCTTTGCAGAGATAACCAAGTTCAAATGAAGACACAAGGTGGGCCTTAATCCAATATGACTGGTGTTCTCATAAAAAGGGGAAATTCAGATACAAACACAGAGGGAAGACAGACATCTACAAGCCAAGAAATGCCCAAAGCGGCCAGAAGCTAGGAGAAAGGCCCTGAACAGATCCTTCCTGGAGGGAGTACAGCCCTGCTGACACCTTAATTTTGTACTTCCAGGCTCCAGAGCTGTGAGACAACACATTTCTGTTCTTTTAAGCCAGCCAGGCGGTGGCACTTTGTTATGGCAGCCCCAGGACACTCACCCAGGTGGGGCAAAGCATTATTGCTTCTGGCTGGAACCATATGGATCAGCTGTTTGGTTTTGCTGTGATTGTTTTAGTCCCCGTGTAGCAGATGCATTCCTTGCCGTTTTGCCACTGTGAATCTGGGAGCCCACAGCCATGCACACCTGGTTAAGGATTCTGATGAACTTGCAACAAGAGTGGCTCATCTTGTGTTATAATCTCTGCCTTAATAGGAAGAAAGGCAGAGAACTAGACCGAAGAACTCATGCGCTGGCAGTGAGCTCCTGAGAGCCCTGGCATTTGGGAGATGCAGCCAAGGCTTATGCCAGAAACGGCTTCCCACGCTTGGCCTCCCTGACTGTGGGTGGCCACTGGGTTATGAGGGTCCCTTCATCTCCCTCAAACCACTGGCTTTCTTCATCATTCCTTCTTTCCCAAAGGCTCTCTTACCGAAACCTTAGCCTGCCATTTACTTTCCTTCCTACAGTCTGGAGCCAGTTGCTTGAACCTAGGAAGTGGATCAGGTTGAAATGATAAATAGTTCTAAGTAGAGAAACCACATGTTTTACTGGAAAGAGCTCTGGAGCTCAAAGAAGCTATGGGGAGGTTGCCGCTCTATACCTAACCTCTGCTTGTTCCTAGGGAAATCGTGTGGAGCTTCCTGAACCTCAGACTCTTCCTCTGGAAAACAGAGATGACCATTTCAACTCTGCTGACCTCTGGATGTTTTTGTGAAATGCTGTATTAATTGAATAATCTATCAGGGGAAAGGAGGTAAATAATGGGTAATTAGGAAAGCTAGAACATCCTGAGGAAGGGCTTAGTGTTCTGGGGCTGAGGTAACAATTACCACAAACTGGGGGGCTTAAAGCAACAGAAATTTACTATCTCTCAGTTCTGGAGGCCAGAAATCTGAAATCAAGGTGCCCGTGCAGCCACACTCTCCCTGGAGGCTCTGGGGAAGAAGCCACTTCTTGCTCTTCCAGTGGATTCTTGGCTGGTGTTTCTTCATATGTGGGTACATCACTCCAACCTCTGCCTCTGGGGTCCCACTGCCGCCTCCTCTTCTACGTGTATCAAATGTCCCCCTGCCTCTCTTTATTTTTATTTTTATTTTTATTTTTTATTTTTTGAGAGGGCATCTCTCATATTTATTGATCAAATGGTTGTCAACAACAATAAAATTCTGTATATGGCTGCCTCTCTTCTAAGGATACCTGTGATGGCATTTCAGGCCCATCACGATCACCCAGGGTAATTTTCCCAGGTCAGGATTCTTGACTGCATGCTCAACCTCCCTTTGTCCTCATAAGGTAATGTTTACAGGTTCCAGGATTGGGACTGGTATCTCCAGGTGGCCATTATTCAAGCCAAGAGATGTTGCCAGTCACAGTGAAAAATGGGCATGTTTATAGGATTTCGTTTGATGCTGATGCGAAGTTACACAGATTAAAGCCCTCTTATGAGCTGGATAGTTTATGTCCCAGATGTTATTAACACCAACCTGCAAGGGGAAACTACTAGCCTCGTCTTGCCGATGAGGATACCGAGGATCAGAGGCACAGGAGCTAGCCAAGGCTTCACAGCTGGCAACTGGAGGGGCTGAACTTCCAGCTCTAAAGTTGGTGTTCTTATACCGCAACTCCCTGTTGCCCATAGAGACCATGGATGTGAGCAAATGATGTCGTTGCTCCATATGGCAGGCCTGGCTTCCATGCTCAGATAAAATAAACAACTCTACTCTAGCATCTTTGGAGACCTGACCCCTGCTATTCTGTTATCTGTGATGCTTATAGGAGGGCTGAGCACCAGGACAGCACTGATCTTTGCCCTCAGCAAAGTATCAGGTCTTTCCAAAGGAGATCGGATGTGAGGCAGCTTATGAGAATCCCGTCAGATATATGGGAGTTTGCTGACCCCACCGGGAAAGGGGCTGGGGCTTCCCAACACAGATGCACAGCTCAGGGCTGTAAGGTCAGGAAGAAATAGACCCTGTGGCCCCACAGTCCTCCGCCCACACCCTGGACATGCCTGAGCCCCAGCTACCCTCTCTGAATTGTTTTCCACCTGGCCGAGACTAAATGTGTCCCTGCCTCCACTTGCTTTGTTTAGCTAGAAAACCAAACTTTTGTTCTTCTGTATGTTTTAATCCTGTCCCTGGCTTCTGGGAAATGCAGGGCTACATTCTGTGTCCAAGGGTCACCCCACCCTTGTCACTGGTTCTCTTCTACTTTTCCTGCTTATTTCTCTTTCCCATTTTGATAATTTTATTGCACCTGAGACTATTATTATAAAATGCATTGAACTTATTTGGGAAATAGGAATGATATATAAATTAGAAGCACACAAGACTTTCCTTTTGTTGCAAAAAAATGCCATTTTACACTTTGGAAAGCTATTTTGTTTAGTTAGGCATTCAGTTTTTAGAGGCATAAACATGTAAGATTAGTAAAGAAGGCTCCTCTCTCAAACCAGGTTAATCTATTAATAGCTAAGGTTGCACTCCAAAGTGTATTCTAGATCTTTTATTTTGCTTGCCCCCCACAACAATACTGTGAGACAAGTGGCTATTACTATTGCACCCATTTTTCAGATGACAAAGCTGAGGCACACAGAGTTTAAGTCATTGAGCCAGGTTTGTACTCTAGTCCCTCCCCCCTTTCCCTGCTTCCTTGTGGATTGCAGAAGTGACAGGAACCTCCACCAGACTCCCTTAATTTGCCAACACCCACTGTGGCCACACAGCCACCTTACCTGCTGTGGCCATAGCTTTCGGGAACATGGTACATGAAGACGTTTCCTCGGGCCCTCCTTGCCCAGTGGTTAGCCATGTTGATCACAGGGCAGGTGATAAAGTAGTCCCTGGTGTAAGGAGGACAGAGAGGGGAGTCTGGTTACACGAGTCCTGTGGACACCTGTGCCAGGTAAATGCTTCTCCCAGGCAGGTGTCCGCTGGACCCCCAAGCTCCTCGGCACAGGTCTGTAGAGGGCACCCACCCTCCTCACATCCCCAGCATTCCTCTTGCCACAGCTGGCTCCACTGTGGGCACATGGTCCAGTCTAGTTCATGGCTGCCCAGAATCATACTTGGTATCCATGGCAATCTCAGGGTCAAGAACCCATGGGACAAGCATCTTCCCAGAACGTCAATTTTACTTAAAGATTTGGGAGCAAAATATTTCATAGTAAAATAAATACATAACATAAAATAATTGGGCATTTTAAAGTAGACAGAGATGGGAGAGAATCACAGAGCACTGAGGAGGGGCACTGCCCAGGATGCTGGAGGTAAGGAGGCTGCTGCCTGGGTCTGGCCAGGAGGCGATGAAGACCTGAGCTAAGGAGGACTGGAGCCTGCTTCCTCAGTGAAGCCTTCCTTGATTACCCACCCTCCCTCAGAACCTCAGCTCTTGACCCACTTTACACAGACTGTCCTGAAAGCTGGTTAAACACAAAATTGGGGCAAGAACATGGGTTTTTGAGCTCTCTCAACAGCACAGATTGGAGCCAGTCCAGTCTGGGTTATGAGCCTCTCAAGGTCCCGAACTTGGACATCTGTGAGTTCTTAGGGTACAAGCTAGGCCTCTGGGAATAGCTGTTGGCTGTCTGGTTTAAAGCTGAGCTCTCCACTAGAGGGAAAATTAAAGCCTTCCTGGTCCCCAAGATCCCAGTGGGCAGATGAAGTTTTATTCTGAGCTAGTGACCCTCTGCCTGGAAACCCCAGACTCCTGGTGGGGAGACCAAGCAGGGCAGGAGGCCTCAACACCCCTCAGTCCATCCTGACCCCACAGAGCCAAGTTCAGCAGAGGACTCTGAGCTTTGGCACTGGCTTCATCCCCAGGGACAAAGAACACAGGACCTCCCGCAGCAGAGGAAAGAAGTGACAGGATGTGGAAACCAGCAACCATAATCGTTCTGCTTAGAGGGGGAGCCCTGAGGGAAAACAGAACACATTGGGGTGTGAGGAATTCAAAGGTGACATGAGAGGTGGCTGTACCCCCAGGGGGCTCTGTAGGCAGGAAGAACTAGAACCCTAGCTTTTTCTTTATTGCATTCAAAGTGCATTTTTTTAAGCATCTGCTGTGCTCATGTGAAACACAGTTCTTGGGCCAGTCAGCCCACCACGGACTGGGGGTCAGGCCGGTCCTGACAAATGCAGTGGGGGTGAGGATAGTGCTGAGAAAGGGACATTATGGGGACAGCAGAGCCTGTGCTGAGCACCCATTGACCACTCTTGGGGTAGGGGGTCTGGGCAGATTTTCCTGAGGGAGGGAAGCCTGAAGTAATGACCTTGAGCAAGGAGACACACAAGCAGAAAGAGCACCCATGGGGAGAGGGGCTGCATGGGCCTTGGGGGCCCTGGGTCTACACCTGATTGGGTGTGACATCATGCATAGAACTTTCCTGTCTAGGCCTCTGTTTTCCATGTGTGATGCTACACAGTAGAGCCACCTGGAAAACTATGAAAAATACTGCTGTTCATGGGCTCTGTGCATCCCACCCTTTGAATCTACCCACCCAGCTCTCATGGGCAGCCAGGGTTGAGGCCACTTTGCTAGCAGACATGGGTCCCCTCATCTGGGTGGGGCACACATGTGCTGAGCAGCTCCTTCGTGGCACCAAGCATACAATGGGCATCCCTGGCATGCACTGTGTCCACACCCGCCGATGGCACAGCTCTGCTTTGGGAAGGTTGGGATGCCCCTCTTTGCATCCCTGGCAGGTGGTCACCTGATGGTGTAGACTGAACGCATGATGCAGGGGACAGAGCAAGCAGAAGGCCAAGTGCCCCCCTTCTCTTTAGGGATCTGGGCATCACCTGGGCCCGTGCTGAAGGGCAGCAGCAGGAACAGCATGCTTCTGGCTTACCGGGTGGCATTCTCCAGGGCCCGGGAGAAGGAGGCATAGTCATCGGTGGTGTGCTCCAGGGAGTAGTACCACGCAGCAGCAGCCTGGACTCCGGCGTCGGCACCCTCACCGCCCAGAGAATTCTGCAGCGCCTGGTAGAAGGCGGTTTTGCTACTGGTCCGACCTTGACTTTCCTCAAATTGCTTTGAAAAAAAATTATATATATATACACATATAAATTATCTAGGCAGATTCTGAAAGGCCAGGGTCGGTTTCCCTCAGACCTTGGTCTACAGGTTTCTGGGAAGCAGAAGAACATGGTGCGTAAGTGCACGTGCACTGGGCCAGACTACCTGGCCTGGAATCCCAGCTCTGCCTCCTCCTAGCTGTGTGACCCTAAACAAGCACTGCAGCCCAGGCTGCCTCCCCACACCTGATGGTGGATGGTGGGCGCGCCTCCACGTACGGCTGCAGTGAGGCTGACAGGTGTGTGCGGGAAGTACTTAAACGTGCCAGGCACTTCATAAGTGCATAATGAATGTGAGCCATTATCTCAGCTGCCAAGGTCACATCCCTGGGCTTGCTGCACTTTACTTTCCTGGCCAGCTTGTCATCTAGTTTTGTTAGGAAGACTACCTTCAGCTTTGTTTACTGACTCAAACGTCCATTGTAGGAAGGCTTTCTGTGTACTTTTATATGGATAAACACACTTCATCCACAGCCACCTGTGTACTGGGCCTGGGAAACAGTCGTGAGCTCGCTGGTCAAGTTCCCAGCTCTTGTGGGCCTCACATTCTAGTGGGTGGAGATGGAAAATAAGCAAATAACTGTACAGTTCATTAAGCAACTTGTGCTGTGAAGACAAACAGCAGGTTGAGAGGTTCGGGGTATTTTTTATAGGACGGTCAGGGAAGGTCTGCAGCTCTCTGGGGAATCATGCCCAGATGAAAATACTTTTCTCTTTCTCTCTCTTCCCTTCCTTCCTTCCCTCCTTTTTCTCTCTCCCTCCTAATTCTTCCTTCCTTCCTTCCTTCTTGTCCCAGCATCCCTGCTGTCTACGCCAGGACAGTCAGCAGGTAGTTCATTTCCCCAGGACTCAGTTTCTTCATTTCTGAAAACAAGGGGCGGCAGATCATCAGAGACGCAGTTCCTGAGTGTGAGCCTCAGACTCCTGGGCTCTTGCACGGTCCTATGTGTATTTACATATTTGTAGGCTCATATGTCAACAGCACAATGTGCTTATCAGGATCCTCTGGCATGTTTAATGTGCTTCCCTAAACATTTCCCAGCAATCAGGACCTGTGGTTGGAATTTGAGACACGGGTATAGTCAGAAGCGAGCCCTCCTGGCTGGGATTCTTCCGGGCGGTCCTGGGGCGGCCTGTCTCAGCCGGCTCACCCAGAAGAGGCAGGGCCCATCAGTGGGGTGACTGATCAAGGATGTCTGCTGGCTCCGGGAGAGATGCGGGAGGGAGAGCAGGGAGGGGTGTGCACAGAGGCCTTCATTCGTCATTCTACCTATGACATGGATTTATTGGGAAAAGATCTGAAGCAAGCATGGCAAAATATTAATATCTGTTCAGTATGAATGTGTATGCAAGAGTATTTATTATATCAATGGCTTTCCAATATTTTTTACTAATGATCTACAGTAAGAAAGACATTTCCACACACAAATTATGCACACACACACACACACACACACACACACACACTTGAAATAACATGTGAAGAATGTTCACACTCCTGGCTCTCACCATACACAATAAATCTGATAGTTTCCACTCTATCCTATTCTACTCTAACCTATCTATTCAAAAATACTTGTGTGTAATTATACAACCTACTAATTATTTAGAGAGGAAACTGCATTATATTATTATCTATCCTTTTCTGAGGTTTTGGAATACTTCATAACAAAAATGGTATTAGGAACCATTTGCATATCTATAGTTATTGCCAAACATTAACATGTGTATTTCAGTGAAGTATCAAAATCACCATGTGAATTGGGTGAATGCAAAGAATTAGTGCCAAATTCCAATGAAACATGCATATAAAGGGTTTAGCACAGTTCTGGGCAAAAAAATGGTTTTTATTCACCATTATAGAAGTGAGTGGTTATTATTCACCAGGCTAGGACATGGGGCCCTGGGCACCCTCAGGCGCTGTGTTAAATCCCAGGGTACTGTCAGTTTATCTGCCCACTGCTCCAGAACTACGTGGCAAAGGGGCGTACAGTGTTCAGCGTGGTGTCAAGCACCTAAGAGGTGCTCAGTAGATATGTGTGAGACAAATGAATAGAGGAGATGCTGACCTCTGTAGAGAGATAATACTGGTTAAAGGCTACAAGTGAGGCTCCAAATTCAAACCTCTTGGGTTCAAAAGAGTTGGAAAAGACCTGTGCTTGGAGCTAACTTTGCCACTTAGCAGCTGGGTGACCTTGGGAGAGTTACTTAATCTCTCTGTGCCTTTGTTTCCTATGTAAAATGGGCACAATAATATTACCCTCTTCATAAAACTGTCATGAAGTTAAGTGAGATGATATGACAAATTTCTCAGCATGACATTTGTTGTTACCAGCTGTGTGTAGACTCAACCTTGTCTCCAACTGAGATGGGCTAGGGAAGCCCTGTTTTAGAGATCTGATGGATGTGGGTCCCACTGGCTGTGGATCTGAACCCCTGGAACCCCTCTTCTGAATCACTGCTGGGAAATGATTGGCCACACCTAAAGGACAGAGTCTTTTCCATGGGGTCTATGGAAACTCTTTCCGCGATGGGGCAGCTGGTAAGAGTACCAGGGCACCAAGCCCTGGGCACTGCTACAAGTGCCTCTCATACAAAACAGTCTACACATTCCAGAGCTAGGACGCTGAAGGGAGGGGCCCTTTCTGCTTGCATTTTATGCGCTAGTTTCACATTTTCAGGAGATCTGAGCTGCTGAGACTCAGTGCACGGCTCTGTCAACTGGTCAGTCCTCTGGAGAGGTCTGGAGTGTGGACCCAAACCCCCAGGGGCACGCAGAAACGTGAGGGGCTCCTTTCCTGCAAGACCCACACCTCTTGATTTTTGGCGAGGACTGAAGCACAGATGCTGCTGGGAGTTTAATTAGAGAGTCAGCAGGAGGGAGCAGAGCCACCATGTGTCTGCAAGCTCCAACTTCCACAAGCCGCAATTACAGGCAAGAGTGGCCTCGGAGCGGCTTTAATACAGGCTGGGCTTTGGTAAGCGCTACCAAGAACTGGCACATGCTTTGTGTGGGTTTTTAAAAGACTGCCATTAATATATCCTACAGAAAAGTTAGAGCTCTTTGGAAACATCTGGACCGTGAAGGGCTTCAGTGCTGTCCCGTATGCCTTGTAGCATAGTGGACTGAACCTGGAGTCTGGCATTTGAGACCCAGGTTCGAACCTGGCTCTGGGTGTGACGGAGAGGGGCAGGGTGTGGGAGCCAGGTAGGCAGGAGCAGGGAGGCCCCACAGTGGTGCCGTGATGCGGGCGGAGGAGCAGAGTGTGGAAGGGGGAATGGGGGGCCTGGCGGCTGGTGGGCTCCACCAGGCTTGTGCCTCAGGAGGGGCCAGGAGAAGGGCTCCTGCACTGTGGTTTGCAGGGGCCGCCTGCCAGAGATGGGGGTCTGAGTGGGTGAGAAGCAGAGCTGGCCATCGGTCACGTGTCCTTGACATGGTGTCCCCAGCTCTTCAGGGTACCTGCTAAGGCGTCCAGTGGCCACTGTTTCCTACTGCTCCGCTCCTGCCATGCTGATCCCACAGTTGCTCAGGGGATCCTCGGAGCTCATCCCACACCCACAGGGCTCTCTTGTTCTCAGGGTAAAGCCCATGCAGAGCCCTTCCCCAGCCCCCTCCCTCCTCTTGGACCAGGGACCACCCTTCCCTCTGAGGCTGAAGCCTTGCTGCCCAGCACTCTGGGGACACCCCCACCTCCCAACTTCCTTAGTGACGCCACCTGGCAAATGCTGCCTCGCTCAGGACCTTCCATGTGCAGTGCTCCATGACCACCTCCACCAAGAGCTAGATGCCCACCTGGGGTCTCGTCCCAGGGTGTGTGCTCAGTGAGCCTGGCCACTGTCCCTTGTCCCTGTAGCCGTCTGGCTCCTCCCTGCCCCGGCTACCCTCTCCGAGGTCACCGATGCGGACTCGGACTGCTCGCCATGCCTCTTCCACTGTGATCCTCACCATCTCCCTCTCCCTAAACTGCTCCGTCTCGGGTTCATTTCTGGAACCCCTTCTGTTATTTTGCCCCTTTTAAATGCTGAGAAGCACAGCTGCCGTCCCTGCCCTCTGCGCTTCCCCTTCCACCTGCCTGCATATGGTTGTGGGACGGAACCATTTCCTGCCTTTGCTTCAACAAGACTGTAAGTTCATGATTCCTAAATCTCTCTCCAGCCTGAATCAACGGTCTGTGTATACAAATATCTCCCATGTCCTGAGAATCTCCCAGGTCCCTCAATTTCGGTATGAGCACAATGTACCTTCGTCATCTACACATGCTCTTCCTCCCTCCAGAACCTTCTCCCCTCCTATTTTCCCACCCTCAGCGACTAAGCCCAGAATCCAGTCACTTGATTAAAAAGACATGTTTCCTGACTCCACTGCCCCATCTTCTCAACCCTCTATGCACCCCATCCTGATGACTGCCCTCCTGGGTACATCTCAGCCCACCCTCCTGCCTACCCCTGGCTCGGGCCCTCACTCCATCTCCTACCCAATGTGGGGCAGAAGCACTCACATGGCTGTGGCAGGTGGGGGTTGGGGAAGCAGAGCTCATGCACAGGGTCCTTAGTGAATTTTGTACACTGGTTACTCTTGGAGTTGTGCAAAATGGTTATGACATCATCAGTTTGAGAGGAGACCCAAGTAGAGTCTGCAAAGGAAAGAGGCAGCCTATCAGAGTTCACCTGATCCTTGCACGTCTGTATGGATGGACCAATGGATAATGAATGCCCCCAGAATTCTCTAGAGTGCTAAGGTAGAGAGAGGCACAATACTCATTTGTTTATGTAATGGTTCATTTGTTCATTTAAAGTTGGAGAGGTGACCTGTCAATGAGCAAAATATTCATGAAAATTGGTGAAGTGCTTGCATCCAGAGGGGATGACGCACAAGAGCAGAGGGGGTGGGGAAGCAGGGTGGCCACGCCTTGCTCCTCCTGCTTGCCCCCGCACCCCCGGCCTGCTCTGGTCAGC